ATCTCATAGTGAATCCACATGAACTCTAAAATTGCTATTCAAGCCCTGAATCAGAATGAGACAAATTTGAAATCCAAAATACCAACCCTTCTGTAACTTGAGGGTTCTGTTTGTTATTAAATGATTTGACACCCTCCTAACGATAGTTTTCTGTGTTGCTGTACATATCATACTGGCAGTCTGCCTGTAATACTGAATGGATGATATAACACTTCAAAATCACTCTGGTGTCTCGGGTTGCTCTTGGATGATATTACCTATTTAGAACTTGTTTGTTTGAATAAAGATGGAGTGTGGAAGACTTTTCGAAAAGTTTCCCTAGCTGAGATGTTTTCTTTTTTATTTTTCAAATTCTATTTATATATTTTTATTTATCCATTATTTGTTGATTATTTATTTATTTATTTATTTTATTTTTATTTTTTAGTTTTTTTCTGGATCTACTGTTAAAGAATCTGAATTCCATTGAATGTACCTGAATAGAGTAAAAGTCATATTCCTATTGTTTTATGTAAAACTGATATCTTTATTATGAAGATTAGTTAAAGGGAATAACTGATATCTGTTATGAAGATTATTTGAGGGATCCAACATTATGTTTTTCACTAGAGAAAATGTACTTTCTCTTAGTTTTTTCAACATGATTTAAATGAGTATTAGTGAGGTGTGAGAGGATTCTCATAAAGAAATTTAATTGCATCTGTCACAAATTTTGTACATTATTCTACATGTATCAAACTTCTGTATATTGTATATAAAACGTTTCATATTCATCAAATGAGCTCCCTTATCCCCAGTGTACCGGTTGATTAATATTATTTGAAGACTATAAAGGTAGAAGTCATCAGGAACTATAGTTCAGTGTAAACTAGGCGTGAGAAGACTGGAAAATCAACAATATGAAGTTTGACTCTTGAATAATATAGTTTAGTTATAATGTGCAGGTTTGTTCTAACCATTCTCACTTTTCTTGTAGGATTTACTTTTTTCTGTTTATTTTATTTTCTTACTGTTTTAGATAAATTTAAGGAGTCTTGATTATTTCAAGACTGCACCTAGTAGGACAGGCAAAGACCCATGCTTGTTTGAGATAGTATGGCCAAGAAATACAAAAATCTGGATTATAAAAACTTCCAAATCTCTTGAATAATGGTTGTATTCAGAAACATAATGTGTGTGATCTGTAATATTTAAATGCTTTGAATTTGGACTCATATTTTTGTATTCTTTTCTAATAAGATTCAGTGAAATTTGATAGAAATTGAAAGTTTACAGAGTTGCAAGATTTCAAATGTGTACTCAGAACATATATAGGTTAGTGTTGAAGGTTTAAAAGTGGACACCAGTATATTCATTCTCTTCCTCTCTCCTGCCCTTCTTGTACCCTTCTTTCCTCCTTCCCACCCATTCCCCTTCCTCCTTCTCTCCTCTTCCCTTTCCCTTTCTTCCTTCCATTGCTTCTCCCCTTCCCACTGCCCCTTACTGCTACTATCATAACTACATCCACTTCATTATACAGTGCATAAAAAGAAAATCACCAAAGATGGTTTTACAAATTAATGATTGAAACTTTATACATAAATATTTCATTTGGTTGTCCGTCTTCCTCAATTTGAAGTGAGCAACATCTTTATATCATGAATGCATGTAGGCCTTTTTAGCAACATTAATATTCATATTTCATACATGAGATTTAGATCATCAACAGATTAGATGGATTTGAATTGATAGTCATACTCGTTTTTTTGTTTATATTATCCATTTGTTATGTAGTCTTAAGATATTATTCCATTCCATCATATGAAGTAATAGATGTAGCCCCCTTTCCACACTTATTCCCTCCCTTAGGCACCTCTGCTCCACATATTCAGAATTCCAAACAATAAATTAATCACAAAAACAACTTCTACATTTTCACCACTCTTCAGTTAGATCAAATGGAAATTGTTTCTGAAGCTTATTTCTTTCACAAGAAAAATAACTTTTGAGATGTTGCAAATCAAAGTTTTAAGTGATCATGTTCCCTTATGTGGAATTAAAGCATATTGAATTTTCTAGCCCAAGATATTATGCACTGCCTTGTTCTGTATTTATAAATATATAAGAGGTAGAATAACATCTTAGATACAACCCAGAGAAATCTTTGCTTATCAACTCAGACAAGTGGGTAATAATACATACAATAGGGTGCATCCTTGCATTTACTATACAATATCTTGATGAGAAAATATATGTATATATATACACATATATAAAATATATATATATCTAAATCTGATGATTATGTTTTTCATTTCCCTTGTTTATTATGTACTTTTTTTTTTCTTTTTTTTCTTTTTCTTTTTATGAAGAAAAGTCAGTCTATGCATGATAATGGTAATGAATATTAGAATCTGAGGATTTGTAAATGAAAATGAATGATGGAAAATTGGCATTATTGGACTACACTTTGGTAGTCTCTCTCATTCTACTGATTTTCTCAGCCTTTCTTTTTCTTGTCTCCTTCACATTTTTCTCACACATATCCCTCTCTTTTTTCCTTTCTATCTATCACTTCCTCTCTTTTCCTTTCTCTCACTCCTCTCCTCCCTTCACCCTCTTTATATTAATTTTGAATTTAAGGAACACAGACTTTCTTTAATCTTGGTATGCTTTATAAAAATTAGTTCTTGGTGCAAAAACTTACTATATGAAGAAAAAAAGAAAAAGTGATATTGTTGTAATTTTTTTATCATTATATACTGTGTTTATTATTTATGTCATTCTAATAGACACTTAATATATGTTTGATATAATAGTCATGTAATACTGTAAAAGTAAGATGGCCATAACTCTACAGGTGGAGATGAATCACGAAGGTCAGAGGGAAGCCAGAGGCCCAACCGCAGCCTCTAAGAGAGGACACAAGACTCGCAAGATGCACCGATGTATCTATTGTCCCTATGCCAGTCATTTCATAACAAATTACCGGAAACACATGTCAACCCATACTGGGGAAAAGCCCTATGCCTGTCATTACTGTCCATATCGTTCTAATGCAAGAGATCACCTCTATCGTCACATGCAAAGGCATACGGGAGTCAAGCCCTTCAGATGTTCCTTTTGCCCTCTCTCATGTGCAAGGAGAGTTGATCTGAATAACCACATGCTTACTCAACATGCACATAGTAGCATGGACAGACCACTGCCAGATGTGGTGTGAGTTAGCTGGCTTGGAAGAATGATGATGGAAATGTTGGTGTGGTCTACTTGCTTATGGTTATTTTCATATCTGCTTAACTATTTGTGCAGTAGGAGGAAACTTTTTTTACTGTTCTAAAAACTAGTCTGATTGTGATATCAAGTTGGAATACTACAAAGCACTTAGCAAGATTTGGGATTCTTTTTTTGGACACTTAGTATTTTTCAAATTTAAGCGCTACTTCAGGAGATGCATACATACATACATACATGTACATGTACAACTTTGCATTAAGATACTGAAATGTATTATGATTAATCATGTTTAATGATTTATTAATCCTTCTCTTGTCTCTGAAAAAAACGAGTATTATGTGTTATCAGTAACAAGAAAATTCTAGGTATATTGAGAATTTTAGTGGACTGTGTGGTAAATTGTAACTCACTCTTTTGCTTCTATACTGTAATGAATTAATGTCATGAAAATGTTCATATTTTTATAGAAAGATATCAGCTATGAACAACAATGTAGTGTAGAACATAATGTAAATAGTCATAATAGTTGCCCAAATGTTATTCCCTATTTGTTTTTGCATTGATTTCTCAAAGAATAATGAGTAATTTATATCATGTAACACAACAGGTCAGAAAGTAAACTCTTCACTTGTTACTAGTTTAGATGCTTAAACCAAAATACATTGCCCTTCCCTTATGTAAAAGCATACCAAGCATTTGACATTTAAATTAGTATTTATTTAAGATTAGAGTTCTTATCAATTTGTTAAGTTTTATTGTAATGATTTATACTTTTTTCTTTACTTGTTTTCAGTTGAATGAGTAATAACTATAATGTGAAATAGATTTGTTTTTCTTTAAATGTTGAAATTGTAAACTTTATTGTTAGAGCAATAAAAGTAATTTTTTTTACATGTGTATTATCATTCTGCTGATACTGAACCCAACACATAAGATAATAGATGAAATGGAAATTATAACTAAATACAGTATATGAGTAACTCGATGCATCATAAACACTACAAATGATGATTTAGGAATTATATATCCCTAGACTGGCATGCAGGAGTTGATAAAAGATAAAAGGAAATGATATAAGAATCAAATAAGTACTGACAATGCTACATAAAAGTTAGATAATTTTGCCATTGCACAATTTACCTTGTCTTAGAGAAGAGAATGATAATATGATTTAGTCATACATTTAACTGTGTTAGTACTTAATAGAACAAATAGATATAGTACAGATTTCTATTTAAGGGGGCCGTCGCGATGAATTTTCGACGAATACTTCAGAAAATGCTCGAAAATCTGTAATTCTAGTAGGCTTTAGCAATTCCGTACACAATATTTCTGCTAAATACATAAAAATAAAGGAGTTATGACCAAATCTGTGACCCCCCCCTCACCCCTGCCTATTTAGTACAGGATAGTGTTCAGAAAGAATGGAAATGGATTTACTGCTGCACCAGGCATGATCAGATTGCATATTATGAACATGGTGAAAAGAAGGTGAAAAATAGAATGTTAATGTGGTTTCTGTTGATCAAATAAATTAGCTGGGGTTGCTTCATATCCTAAGAATTTTGAGGAAAGTAAAATCAGAATAGTTTGGATGCCATGAAGAAATGAAATAGAGAAGAATATGAAATAGAGAGGAGAGAAATTGTCTTCCTTTTTGTTTTGTTTTCTTTTGTCTGCTTTTCTTTGAGGCAGAATTTCAATATGATGAGTTTCTTCATTTGAAGTTAAAACCCAAGTTGTCAAATGTCTCATGGCTATGTGCAGTTCACATTGGTCTGTAGTAAGAAAAATCTTTTTATTTTTTTTAATAGATTTTTTTGTTTAGCTTTTGGCATTTTAAAGATCAATATTCTTTTCCTTGTAAAAAGTAGAGTTTGCAGCTAATGTACTGAAATGCAATATTTATTTTTTTTTTTCTTCACATATTTTCTCTTTCTTTTCTTTTCTATCTTTCATCTCTTTATACCCATTTTCAGTATCATTATTTTTTTATTGCCAGCATTATTTTTATTTTTTATAATTGTTTTTAGTAGCATTGTTATTGTTATTGTTGTTATTATGAGTGTTTTTGTTATAGTTATTATTTTATTATTGTTCTTATGATGTTATTATTGTTATCGTCATCAACATCATCATTTTTTTCTTTTTTCTTTTTGTTTTCTATCTTCTCTTTTTAATTTTCAATGTTATTATTTTGTTATTGCAAGTATCATCATTGGTATTATTTTTATTTATTATGGTTGTTATTAGTAGTAGTATTGTTATTGTTATGATTATGATTATAATTTTTATGATTATTGTTTTTACAGTTATTTTTTTATTGTTCTTTTTGTGATGAGTTATTATTACTATTGTCATTACCATCATCGTCTTTGGCGACATTTTTATTAGCTGTCATTATGATGATGATGATGATTATTATTATTATTATTATTGTTATTGTTGTTATTGTTGTTATTAACGATAATGATAGTAATAATATTAGTAATTGTTATGATTTTTACAATTATTGATCTGTCAGTAGCAATTAGTTATTGTGATTATCATTGTTATTAGTATTGATAGTTGCAATATTATTTGTTTATTGTTATAATTGTTATCACCTTTAAGTTATAGAATATTCCACTAAAACACCCTTTTTATCACAATGATTCAAATGTAATGAAGTTCAAACATTTGTAGGTGATATGATTTTATTTTGATGTGATAGATATCCTTCTTTTAGAACCTTAAAATTTTACTTGAACTTACAATTTACATTGAGAAAGAACCTAAGCTCGACACTATAAGCTCTCTTTTAAGAAACTGTGATTATTCATCATAAGCACACACTGCCTTTTATAAACCTCTTTGAGTAAGACAGGCGTACCCAACAGGTGGCGCTGAACCGAGATGGTCACAGGATTGGCAGTGGAGGCGTTGCGGGACTAATGAAGGCCCCCGTCAACAGGAAGCTCCACAAGTGTTCTCATTGCCCCTTCACGACCCACTGTATAACAAATTTTAGACGTCACATTAGCACACACACAGGCGATAAACCTTATGCTGCTCTGTCTGCACTTACAGATTTGATTCAGATGATATAGTGATAGCATGTTTTTTGTTAAGAAATTCCTTACAAGTGTACAAAATGTTTGCTGATATCAGGAAATAGTATTGTCTTTTATTATTATTATTATTATTATTATTATTATTATTATTATTATTATTATTTGTAAAAATATTGTTAGACTAAGCTGGTTTTCTTTTTCTCTTCTTTTTATCTTTTTTTATTTTCTTTTCTTTTGTTCATATTAGTTAGACAGTGTAGTATAGCTACTTTCTGTTAAAGTGCACAGTGGCAGTCTGATTTGATTTTAGTAGGTGTATTTTATTTTCGTGTTTGTTACTTGTAATTTGAAATACATTAAATGATTCCCAAAGAAGTTATTCATATGTTTTATTCTGATTATTCAAGAAATTCAAAGAGCAAGATGTTCTCTTATAGTTTTTGTTGTGAAGGAAGAAATTTTAAACTTATTTTTTATGATGTAATTCAATTTTGTTTGTTTTCTTTTTTTGTTTTTTGTATATTTTTTTTTTGGCTTCTAATTACTAATAAGCACATCTTCATATGGTACACAGATACATTCTAAATGTCTGTAGTTATATGCATTTTAAACAGTTCCTACTCTGTTTTATAGAGTCTTGTTTGTTTTAGTAGAATGTGTATATATATATATATATTTTGTATTTCATCTCTTAGGTTTTTTTTTATTGTATACTACCAGTTAATGTAAAAAAAAAAAAAAAATTGGAATGAATATTTAAAAGTATTGAATATGGTTCACAAGTAATTAACTATTTGTTAACATATAAGAGAATTAGATGGGAGATCTTTTTTAGAAGTAAATTATCATGAATACAGGGAGAAAGCAGAAATTCCATTACATTCTATACTGCTGTCGTTATTCATAAGGCAGTTATTGAGTATCTATTGCATACCTTCCTGTCATCCTTATCAACATGTTCATATATAAAATCCATTTTCCAGAGAAATTGATACCACACAAAATCCATGACAGTGTAAATCATTGTTAAATTCACAATTAAATACCTGTGCTTTTGTAACTTTGCTGTTGACATCAGACTAAATAGAAACATAAGAGTAAAAGTCTGTCCTTTCAAGTTGGTAAACTTTTGAAGTTTCATCAAAAGGTTAACAAGTAGATTTCAGGAAGATGGCTGCATAATTTAGTATTAGTTACAGACAAGTACTTGGGTCATATTGAAAAGAAAGGAAATTTCCCCTTTGTTTTGCCTCATGGAATAGAGGTTATTTTATATAATCTTTTCCAATATTTACGTGATAGAATATGGAATACTTGGGTATATTTTGTGCAGTTATGAGAAGCATATATTTTGTAATTCTCTTTATGTGCCATAACCCAAAATTGTGTTTTAAGAGATGTCTATATTTTCATAGTTTATAAAAAGAAAACATTGGTATTCTAGCCAAGAATCCTCTTTACCTTTATCGTTGTTCAGTTAATGTTAAACATGATGTCCATTTAACTATATAATGTCCATCCATTACTGACAAAAAAAATCTGTCATCATAGTTGAATATAATGTTACTAGATGAGAGATTGATCGTCACAGTCCAATTTTACCTGCCTTCAGTAAGAAAATTTATGTATATTCACAGATACAAAATGTTTCTAGATATGCTACCTCAAATGTTTTAATGGTTGTAAGGATAAGAATGATTAAAGATGTGAAATATGACCCCAAAACCTGATAAATAATTGTTGACTTGGGAAAATAATAGATAATTGTGATTTTATGGTCTGTTGTTTCTTTCCAACCTAAAATAGGATGTACTTTCACTTGGATTGCACATTTATTCGTGTAATAGAGACCATCATAAACTGATGCAACTAAGGGATATCAAAAATCTTTGGTTTTAGTCTTAGGTGCTGAGGTAAATGCAGTTCAATTGTATGTGAGAGTGAGTGTGCATGAGAGTATATGTAAGATAGTGAGTGAATGATAGAGTGCAGGGGGTGGTGATGTGTGTATCTATGTGGATATTTGTGTAATGTCTGTATATACATAAATTATTTTTCAGCAGCACTATACCACTGGAGGGAAAGTGCTATATATTATTTTGATAAAGTATTATATTTAGTAATTACACAAGCCATAGTATATAATCATGGGGATTTTTTTTTTTTTTTTTTTTTTTTTTTTTTTTTTTTTTTTTTACTGCATATAAGTGAGATAAAAGATTAAAATATTGTAGTTGAAGATTAAATACTTTTTTAAATGTTTATATTCTCATGATGATCATTTCTATCTGTATTATGTTCATTATCATTAGTTATTATAGCTGCTGCTTTTGTCTATATTATCTTTTTTATATGATTATTACCATAGATAAGTCATGCAAAATGCAGTAGAGCCAAGAAAGGGGGGAAATGTTGTTTCCATGTTTCTATTTATATTCACTTTATGAGTAGTTTCTGTTTATCTTTAGTAAGATCGACATACCCTACAGGTGGCGATGGACCACGATGGTCAGAGGAAAGCATTCGGAGGAATCATGGAAGAGACACAAAATCCTGTTAAAAGGCGGAGCCACAGTTGCCCCTACTGTACTTACACGACCGATGTGTCCACAAATTTACACAAGCACATCACTACCCACACTGGGGAAAAAGCATATGCCTGCCCATACTGTCCGTACCGGTCAAATTCCAAGGATCATGTAAAGAGACATACTTTAACCCACACTGGAGAGAAACCTTTTGCTTGTACAAAGTGCCATTATCGCTCCACCCAGAAAAGTCATATTAAAAGCCATATGTTTACTCATCACTGAAGTGTATCAGATTTATGGAGCATTATTTTTTATGTAGTAAGGGCAGTTAATTCTTACATACCATGTGTGATACTGTGGTTAAATGGTTATTTTTTATTGTCTCTTCTTTTGTTATAAAACTTTGTACTGTTATATATATTTGTATATAAATATATTTACCTTTCTATGAGCTGTATTTATTATCTATACTGTGTTAGTTGTGTATACTTTAGATGTGAAACTTCAATATTATATTGTGTGTAGGAACTAATGTCATGGTGAAAGTTGGGATACAATCCCGGTATGATATTTTCAATTAATTTTTTATACATATGCCATGATTCTAAAAGGATGATATATACCTATCTGAATAAGAGATACAAAAAGAGTTTCTTAGATGAACATTATAAATTATCAGAATGATTCTGATGATTTTTTTCCTTGATTATCTTTTTTCATAGGTTTTATTGTTATTGCTTGTAAGCAAGCATGTTGTTGCATTATAATGACTCATATCTGTAGAAAAGTAGATTTATATGACATTGAAAGCATTGTGTGAAGAATATAGATTCAAACTTTAGTCAGTATACGCTACTAGGCCGAATGCTGAAAAAAGAAAGCTGAGGTTCAAGATTTTATCTTAAATTAATACATACCTACATAATGATATAAAGACATGAGATTGTTTTTATTTATTTTGGTAAATTAATTATATTTTTAATATGATTATATTTTAATGCTTAGTCAGCAAGTATTTATTGCCAATTAATTTGAATTTATGTTTTTATTTTTTTTAATGAGAAGGAATATCTACATAGTGCTAGAGATGTAGTTGACTGGTTTTGATTATATCTTTGTCAGAAATGAATGTATCTCTGACGTAGGTATCATTGAAACTAGTCAAATACAAACTCCTGTGCTAGGAAAATATTCATTCCCATTCATACCTTTTCTACATTTTACACAATTAATACAGTTCTTTCTCTTTTTCTTTCTTTCTTTGTTACATGGATGGCAACCCTAACAACAGAGCAATACAGAAAAACTCCTCTGTTTACATAGCATGTTTTTGTTGTTGATTACACAGGAAGTTTTGCAGTTTCATTAGAAAAATTTAATAAAAGCCACTGGTAAGCCTGGTAGAATGTGTACCACCAAAGCTCCTTCCCCTGAGTTTCCAGTAAGTCAAGGTCAGCACATAGTGAAATGTGGTTTGTTAGTACCCTAGATTTATGCAGGTACTGTGATCCTTGGTATTACAAGAGGTCATCCATGATTATCTGCATTTTCAAAAGCATTGAAAATATAGGCTGAAAATTCAGAGGTTAACAACGCATGTATACATGACTTAGTGAAATTTGGCTGAAGGTTATTATAGATTTATGACAGTAGATTTTTATTGATCGAACTTCTATGTTATAAGGGATCATCCATGATCATCAGCATTTTCAAAAGCATTGAGAATGTAGGCTGGGAAATTAGAGGTTAACAACCCATGTATATTAAGATATTTTATCAAAAATGATCAGCTTCTTCCTTGAAGGAGGGTAGGGGTCTTCCAAAGATACTAGATTTTTGTATAGTTTTGACTATGTTGATGATTGTGGATGATCCCTAAAAAAGTAGCAATAAATTGGTTGAACAAAAAGAAAAAGCAAACTTGCATTGCAGATTTATCATCATTTGATTTGATTTGGCTGTTGGGAAAATATCAGATAAATACTGTCCACTGGAGTGAATTTTGTACTAGTTTATCATAATTTTAAATTAGTTACTTAAGATTAGAATTTTCATAATGGTTTACATATTCACAAATTAGGTAAAGTAACAGTGAATAAGACAGGCATACCCTACAGATGAGATTGGAGAGTGACCGAAAGAGGCCTGGAAGACGAACAGGAGTAGCAGAGCAGAGCCTTACCACCACCACTGCTTCTCCATCCAAGATACACCAGTGTTCCTACTGTGCTTACACAACCAATGTTGCCACTAACTTAAAAAATCACATAAGGACTCACACTGGGGAGACACCCTTCAAATGTATGCATTGCTCATATTCCTCAACTACAAAACAAAGCTTGATATACCATGTTCGCACTCATACTGGTGAAAAACCTTATGCCTGTCCCCATTGTTCATATCGCTGTACTCAGCTAGGCAGCATGAAAAGTCATATGTTCAAACATCATGAATGGGGCCCAGTTTCTCAATAAAAATTCTGTGGTGTGTAATAGTGTTATTAAGATTAGCTTCAGGATTCACTTTATGTAGATTTGTCATAATTGTAAAATCCTAGATTATGAATTACACATGTTAATACTGGAGGAGCATAACAGAAATAAAGGTGATTTCTGGCATAATAGTTTTATTTATCTTTATCACTGTAGACTAAAATATATAATTACAAAGTCGTGAATTGGTTTCTCATTTAAAAACAATGATTTACTTACTTATTCATTTGCTTACTTATATATTTTTATTTTGTGAGATTAGGGATATAAGTTGAGCTTCTTAGTATGAACTTTATGAATTACAGAGAGATATATTATAGTGATAGGCATGCTATATTAATAGGATAATAAGAGTTGGGAATATAAGTGGTATGTATGGGAGTTGTAAAGTGAACAGACTTTATCATTATTTGTAAAGGAGCTTTTAATGTGACCAGCACCTATGAGGATAATTTTAAAAGAAGGAAGAACTAGCCATTGATAGATAAAGAAGAAATAAACATTTTTATTTTTATTTTGACTCAGCATTTGTTTGTGTAAAGACTTACATTGCATCTGCTATAAGATTCATGTGTGATTACACAGAATATCTAGTTATCATACAGTCTTTAAGAATATTCTTGATTTTCATAATACAATATTGTAGAAGACTGTGGCTGTGTTAATAATATGCAAATGCAGTAATTGATTTGTAGTGATAAAATTTGACACCTGTGCACACATACAAAAAGAATGAAATATAGTTCCTCTTCTTCCCTGCCTGTTTCAGTGCATGCATGTGTAAAAAACATATATATATCTGTCTTTATAATGTATTTATTTTTCTTATGTGTTTATTTTATGTAAGCATGTATAAAGTTATATGGTGATAGTATATGCATGTTTTCTTTCCTTTCCAAGAGGAATTATATTAGGTGATAGATAATAACAATATGTTTAATTTTATGCATAAGTACATTGGACTATGAAAAGTACAGCAAGCACACTACGTTCAAAATGTATAGCCAGTAAACCATTAATACCTTTTAGCTACTAGACTAAAAGACTTCATCCTTTGGATGTATAATTTTTGACTGAGAGACAATATCTCTTTGTTACCTTTGATATCTTCTTTGGCCATTTTATTTCTCTTTCACCTCATTACTTGCTTCCAGTCAGTCCTTCATTTGAATTATGTTAATTGTATCATGCAAGAAGCATCATGCTACTTGCACCTATGTTATTTTAATGTTTCCAGAAGTTCTTTAATATTGTGTTTCAAATGTGAGTAAGACCAGCATCCCCCACAGGTGGGGCTTGACTGTGATGGTTTCAAGATGGGTGAAAGAGGAACACCAGGACCTGTCAAGGACTCCAGCATTATCAAGATGCACCACTGCCCCTTCTGTCCATACACAACCCCTTCGAAAACTAGCCTTACAAACCATATTAGAACCCATACAGGGGAGAAGCCCTATTGCTGTCCTTATTGCTCTCTTTGCTTTACACAAAAAGGAAGTTTGCATATACATATACGCACACATACTGGTGAAAAGCCCTTTTCCTGCCCTCATTGTCATTATTGTGCTACAACTAAAGATAATCTAAAGAGACACATTTTTATTCACATTGGAGAAAAGCCCTTTGCATGTGCCCACTGTCAGTATCGAGCTACTCAAAAGGGTGCTCTAAAATTTCATGTTTTGAGTCACCACTCTGCATAACATGAAGTATAATGTAGCCAAAGTTTATAATCTCCATCTTCATACTGGCATTGTTCATTTACATCAGTACACTTACATTTACGAAGGCACAAATAGCCATACATAGTCATTTACCAAATCCTACAAAAGCATGCGTAAGGGCTCATGAATGTGGTTGTAGACCATACTAGAAAGTGCAGGACTTTCTGCTGGGATCTCAGATATAATAAAGCTTTGCCTAGCAAATGCTGGTGTACAGGAAACATGAACTTCTTCCTAAGTGCACCTGTTCAGTGTACCTAGCTGGCCTGATCTTTAAAGCAAGTTCAATGCTTGGAAAAAGTCCAAACTTCAAAATTCTAAATATAAGAAATTGATATTTCAGTGATGGATACAAGATCATTAAACATTTTCACAGTTTTCCAGTGTGCTTAATCGTGGAAGTCACATCATATGTGTTGGTAACACAAACTGACATCTCTCGTTTTTAGTTTTTTAGTTGTACTTTCCAAATTAGGGTGCAGATAGATGTTAAGACTCATCATGAATTCAACAAAAATACAACTTGCTTGTTGCCTTTGTGTAATATAGCCAATATAGATAATAGAATTAAAAGGGATCCTACAACAAATGTTACCTGTTTTGCAATATATATTTAACTTTATTAATATAGAGTTGACATAGGAAATATACTAGATACAGATGCATTGCCAAGGCTAGTCACAATTTGTTACAGTTTTTATAGCTATGATATTTTGCATACTTGAAGATATTACATTAGTATTTTAGTAATCATTTTGTTTGATACACAGAAAAAATACTCACTTTAAATTAGTATAAACTTTCTAAAGCATTATTTTCCAACTATATATTATTTCATTCCTTAAAAGGCTAAAATGCAGTCTTACTTGGAATAAGATTGTTTTTTTTTTTTTTTTTTTTCAACTGTATGCATAATGCATGAATTTTTGAAGTTGGAGATTTATTGTGTGTTTAGGTAAGACTGTATTGGCCAAATGGAAATGTAATGAGGTTCCAGCAACACAGTACAGATAGACTTTAGGTTTGATTCCCCACCCCCTTATTTTAGCAATACTGTTTGCTCATATTTTTATGGAATTGCCTTAAAATTTTATCAAAAATATTCACCAGAACCTCAACCTTTTGCTTTTATTTTTACTTCACAAGAATAAGAAGCATCCTAATGTTGTTTATCAAATATATACAGAATGATCCTTTACATAGCATAAAGAAGCATTTTATATTAACACCAGTACATCTTGTAATATAATATGTGTATTGAAATATTTATTTTATATATGTAAAAGAAGTGTATTTAAAAGATTCGGATATATCATAATGTTATTGTTGCATCTAAGTTTAAGTCAAATGATATGCATAGCTGAATTAAGATATACATATTTTGTTATGCATTTATAAGATGATAAGATTAATCAGAAGAATTATTAATAATAGTTTAATGCAAACGATTATAAAGTGATAAGAGAGATTTATGATGGTCGTAAGTAGTATATTAAATGAAAAAAGCTTTTTAGTGCCATTATTTTATATAATAAGTGAGTCTTCCATTTGTGAAACTACAAATGGCATTGTCATAAAGGAATTGTTTGAACACTTTGTTAAGAAGACCTTTATATTTAAGAATGAGGAGGAAATTCCTGTGTTGTTTAGAAGCAGCAATATTATACCATTTCCCATAGCTTCTCTAGCTCCTATGTAGTTAAGGTTCAACAGCTCAAGTGTTGATTTCTAGATTAGGTGACCCAGGGTGAGCATGTTTTTATAATAACACTTGGTCTTTTGTTATTATTATTCATCTCTCTCACTCCTTCTCTCTCTCCTTTTCCCTCTCCCTCTATCTCCCCCTCAGCCTCCCCTCACCTCCCTCCAATTATATCATTGCTTAGAATGATATATGTGGTTTTATGTTAATGAATAGTACTAAGCATTTTGTGTGGGTTAGAGGGAACAGTAATGTTTAAGAAAATTTTTAAATGTAATGTCTTTTTCTTTTGTTCAAGAAAACTCTTAAATGTAATGTCTTTTTCTTTTGTTCATGTTTATTTTAATGCATTTTGCTAAAAAGCTAGTTGCTTTAAAAATGATGTTTCCAAACCTGTTGTTTTGCTGATTAAATCTGTGGCTGATTGGAGGTTAGGTTTATGTTATAAAAATGATATTATGTACCTGTTAGTTTTTCTAAAGCAGTTAGGTCAAATTGTAGAGTAAAAAGTCAGGACCACATTGTAATTGTTACTCTGCATCCTTCAGTTTAAAACAGTAGCTCTGTGTGTTTATGGATTGAAAATGTTTATGTTATTTAAAGTTATATGCATACAGATACTGTTAGATATGTATGCATATATTTAGAAAGATTTTGTATTCAAGCATCATTTATCACACTTATTTTTCAGAATTACATTTGAACTCAAAGGAAATCTTCTTTAACCTTTCAAGTAAATGATTCTTTGAGAATCATTTACTCACAAAATTTGTATTTACTGTAAGCTTGACAGCCTTATGGTTAGAAGTAAAATCATGTTACTGATGATCATGACTGTATTTTTACGTCAGTCTTGAGAAGAAAAATGTGGATTTTAAATTTTGCTTGAGTTTCTGTTGTCAAAAAATACAACTTTCAGTTTTGTTCCAAGTGTAAATCAGTATTGATTAGACCCATGATATCTGTAATGATGCTGTTTATCTTTTTGGAAGGTTAAGTTGAAATAAGATTTAACATAAGATTCACAGTGAGTATCTGAAACAAATCATATTGACATACAAAATAGTATTGCTTCACTCTTACTTATATGGCTTTTTGCAATTATGGTTTTACATTGCATTGTATTCTTTTGTGGCATATAACTGGGTAAACAAAAATGGGTATAACAATTATTTTCTCTCTCTCTCTCTCTCTCTCTCTCTCTTTCTCTCTCTTTATTTTCTAGTATGTATGTATGTGGCAGTGTCTGACTTTTGATTTGCCTGTCTGTGATGTTGATGTTCTCTTCATCCTAGACTGAATATTATGATTTATGGTAAAATGTTATTTAAAACTGATAATTAAATCAGTTAGATATATCAATGTCAAATATATTCATTTATTTATCTCCAAAGGCATTAATGTAGATTAACTTTCTTTAGATATGCTTGAGGACTACACATACTCAGGACACACTAATACACGCACACACAAACACACACACACATGTTCTCTCTTTCCTTCTCTCTATCTTATATTCTTGCTTTCTCATAAGGTACCTGTTCAGTATGTACATCTGAAACTGAATGAATGCTATGGGCAAGATTAAACAAGTTTCACAGTAAAATTTCCAAATGTGTACCTAGTTTTTAAAATTTACCTGCCAGAAATAAGTCATAAGAATTTTCCCCTTTAACTAAACCAACCTAATTTCGTTAAGATCTGTAATTTATAGCACTGAATTGCAATAAAAATGATGGGCATCCCCTACAGGTGGGACGGGACCCTGATGGACTGACTTCAAGTGGAGAAGACGTGAAAGGCTTTGGCATGAGTCAAACCTCAACCAACAAGATACACCAGTGTTCCTACTGTGGCTACTCCACTCCCAAGTATGCTCACTATGCAGTCCATTTGCGAACTCATACAGGAGAGAAGCCTTACGTCTGTCCTTGCTGTCCATTTCGCTGCACACAGAGCGGCAATCTCAAAATTCATCTTCGAACTCACACTGGAGAGAAACCATATTCTTGCCATTACTGTCCATTCCGCTGTACCCAGAAAAGCAATCTCAAGATACATCTACGCACCCACAATGGAGAAAAGCCAAACGCAATTACATAACTTCTAAGTACCAGTGACACTAATATGTATATCCTTTTCTGTAGATGACAGTATAATTTAGAGAAAATAGTTAGATATTATTTGTTATGCTTCTGATGAATGGTCTGTGAGGACAGGTGATGCATATATGTTTATCTGTGTTTGTGCTTAAATGTGTGAATGCGTGTGTATTAGAAAGTATGTTTGTGGTTATGTTTATCTGGTTGAAAGTATTTGAGCTTGCACTTTTGCATGTGTTAATGTACACATTTGGTTTTGAGTTGCATATGTGCATCTTTATATTTCTACATCTGTATTTTTTTTTAATGATGATAATAACAGTGATAGCAATTATTTGTGTGTGGGGTTTGTGGGTGTAGGGGTGGGTATTGATTTTTGTCTCTATGTCTTTCACTCTACATGTGTATGTTTTTGTGTATGCTTGTGTGAATGACATATGATTATAAAGGTTTATGATGTGTTGGACTTATGAAAATGCTTCCAGACAATTCATTTTTTCACTCCTTTTCAAATACAAAACAAATATTTAGCTTAAAAATAATATTCCTGAATTCTCATTATTCTAGTACAAATAACTGACAAAAGTTATCACTTTTAAAAGATATTTGTTTGTTTGCATGTATTTTATTTAGTTATAAATGGTGTGTAACTGTTTTGCCAAACGTTATTTCACATGTAACATGGAATGCTTTAAGTTAAAATAGTGTTATGCTACAAGTGAAAATATATATGCATATATATGGTGTGCTGCTTTCAGTCATTTCTAGGAATCCAATGCTCAAAAGCAACAAGTTTCTTGCAGCTCCTTTTAAAGATTATAAGAAATGAAATCAAGGAAGGATTTTCTTGGATTTAGAAAACATTACCCAAAGTATTCAGATATGAGTATGCAATACTTATGAATGAATCATCTCTTATAAAGAGAGGTTATACTGTGATAATATGTATTTTACTTTGTGAAAGTATTAGACTATAACGTAAGAAATTAATATTTGGTCACAAGGGTTACCAGTGTTGTGATGAAGGATTAGTAGTGCCTCATGAACAGCTGATTTGAAGATTTACAGTTCTAGTCTGTAAATATACAACAGCAACAAATTTTGTGACATTCCCCCTCAAAGCAATTAGAAATAAGAATTTCCATAATGGATATGTTTATGTTCTTTTAGACAGTTTCATAATTTTGCTGATTATGTATTCCATCTCATGATCTCATGTTGTCTTTGTCTTTGTTTAAAATATGCAATTCTGCTATAGTCCTGTGACTATGGCCTCTTTAGATGTGACAGTATTGATGTATGCATTGGAAAATTTATTAAACACCTGAAGATGTCTTTAAAGTTCCTTTATTCATAGAAAGTGAATAGAGTGAATTAGAACATGCCTACTAATTGAAAGACAAATTACCACTTTGGAACCAACTAGGATTTGACCTGCAGTTCATTCTAAAGCAGTATCCAAGCTTAGATCAGTGAAGCTTTTGATTTGTGTCACTCTTAACAAAAGAGCATGTATGAGCTTTATAATTCAGGTATAAAATTAGCATATATGGTGCATAGTTGACTGATTTACGTTGTTCTCAAAAGTTCTATTGTTTGCAACAAGAATAAGTTGGGCATCCTCAACAGGTGATGCTGGACAGTGACGGCATGAGGACTGGCAGAGGAGGAAGGACAGGGACTGAAGAAAGTAATACAGGAGTCAAGTTACTTGAATGCTGCAAGTGCTCCTATACTTGCATCCAACAAGTACAAATGGATATGCATTATCGAACACATCCAGAAGTGAAGCCATACTCATGCCCACATTGTCCTTTTCGTTGTTTCCCGCAGTGATAACCTAAATAATCACATTCGTATCCATACTGGAGAAAGACCCTTTTCATGCCTCACTGTCCACATCACTCTGCAACAAGTAGTGATCTGAAGAAACACATTCGCACTCACACTGGGGAGAAGCCGTACCTGTGTCCCTTTTGCCCATTCCGAAGTACTCAAAGCAGTAACCTTAAGATTCATTTAAGAACACACAATAGTGGACATGCATATAGATAATTTCTTTATTTCTTTTAGTATTTGTCATTTCTCTAAATTAGGATTTTGATCCAGTTCATGTAAGCCTAATTACCTGACATTATATGTAAGTATTTCAAAGGCATTCAGATTTTAGGCATCTGTAGTTCACAAGTTGCGCTTTGAATAATTTTGTACTTAATCTGTACATTATGCCATCTTGGTATGTTGTGCAACAGAACATGAAGCTGTTTCCTTTTCTCAGTGTGAGACTACTAAATGCTTATTAAAGTTTTTCTTATTTAGAAATAAACAGTAGCACTTATTTTTTTCCTTTTTGTTAACTGGATAGATATTGTTTTGAGTCACAGAATATATTTTAACTTGTATTTATTACTTTTGAGGAAAATGATAGTTGACTCTTCATTATTTTCAGTTGTAATTTAATCTAATTAAATCTCTTGACAAGCACACAAGTATGCACACAATTACACATACAAATGTACCTACACTCATTCAACATATATACAAACACACACTCACACAAAAACTCACTCACTCACTCACTCACTCACTCACTCACTCACTCACTCACTCACTCACTCACTCACTCACTCACTCACTCACTCACTCACTCACTCACTCATACACACACACACACACACACACACACACACCACACACACACACACACACACACACACACACACACACACACACACACACACACACACACACACACACACACACACACAAACAAACTCATTAATTCACTCACTCACTCACTCACTCATGCACACACACACACACACACACACACACACACACACACACACACACACACACACACACACACACACACACACACACACACACACACACACACACTGTTATGCATACATACACTCTGCGTTTCACAACACACACACACACTCACTCACTACTCACTCACTCACTCACTCACTCACTCACTCACTCACTCACTCACTCACTCACTCACTCACTCTCACACACATACTTACACACACACACACACACACACACACACACACACCACACAACACCAACACACACACACACACACACACACACACACACACACACACACACACTCACTCACTTTCACACACACACAGACACACACACTCGCTCACTCTCACACACACACTCACTCACTCACTTTCACATACACTCTCACTCACTCACACAATAATACATACCCATACATGCAAAAATTGGTGATTTATTTGTGGATTTAAGTAATTTACTAAGTGTTTGTTTCTTCCAAGTTTAGGGTGTGTGTTGTGCAAATGGGCAATTTAGTTGATAATAAAACTTTCATCATGAGTATGAAATTTATTTCTGATGTCAGTTTTTGTATTTGCTAATTCTGGCATATTCTACTTGTTACATTTAAAGGGAGATTGTAATCAGAAAAATGGGGAACATACTATTTTATCATCTGATATTTGGGGATTCAAAAGTTCATTTGCATAAAGGATGGTAAGCATATTGAGATTCAAAATTAGCAGATAAAACAACGTTTGACATCTTATACCTTGTGTAAGATGGCCAGCCCCTTTCAGGCAACTCCGTTGTGATTGGCATACTGAGGTCACAGTCAGGCAGAAGGGAGCTGGCCATCCTGCTGCATCATCCTGCAGCCTAGAATGCATGTTCCTCTATGAATATGCCATAATGTTCTTCCAAGATGAATTGTCCATGATACAATGATGAGATAATACATCTTATGTACCACACAGACCTGAATGTGACAATACTTTGTATGTGACCAAGAGGCTCAAGAGTAGAAAAATGAACAGTTGAATGACTTTGCTGTCTTTGCCTCAGGGTAAATGTTATACCTGATTTATATCAATTGCTATTTATCATCCTTGAATACTTACCTGTATGTCACAATGAAATTTTTTCCATCAATCTATTATGTAAATAGCAAATAATGGTTGAGAAAAGGAATTTTATATTGTATAAATGATGTGTATATGTACATACTTTTGTGTGTGTATGTGTGTGTAGGTGTAGGTGCATGTGTGTTTGTGTGCATGCATGCATGTCTATTTGTTTATGGACATGTACACATGTGTTCATATAGAATATACAGATTTACACCTCCCCCCCATCTCTCTCTCTCTCTCTCTCTCTCTCTCTCTCTCTCTCTCTCTCTCTCTCCTCTCTCTCTCTCTCTCTCTCTCTCTCTCTTTCTTTCTTTCTTTCTTTCTTTCTTTCTCTCTCTCTCTCTCTCTCTCTCTCTCTCTCTCTCTCTCTTCTTTCTCTCTCTCTCTCTCTCTCTCTCTCCTCTCTCTCTCTCTCTTCTCTCTCTCTCCCCTCCCTCCCTCTCTCTCTCCCTCTCTCTCCCTCTCCCTCCCTTCCCTCTCTCTCTCCCTCTCCCTCTCCCTCTCCCTCTCCCTCTCCCTCTCCCTCCCCTTCTCCTCTCCCTCTCCCTCTCTCTCTTCTCTTCTCTCTCTCTCTCTTCTCTCTCTCTCTCTCTCTCTCTCTCTCTCTCTCTCTCTCTCTCTCTCTTCTCTCTCTCTCTCTCTCCCTCCCTCTGTCTCCCTCTGTCTCTCCCTCTGTCTCTCCCTCTGTCTTCCCTCTCTCCCTTTCTCTCTCCCTCCTCTCTCTCCCTCTCTCTCTCCCTCTCTCTCTCCCTCTCCCTCTCTCTCTCTCTCTCTCTCTCTTCTCTCTCTCTCTCTCTCTCTCTCTCTCTCTCTCTCTCTCTCTCTTCTCTCTCTCTCTCTCTCTCTCTCTCTCTCTCTGTCTCTGTCTCTGTCTCTCTCTCTGTCTCTGTCTCTCTCTCTCTCTCTCTCTCTCTCTCTCTCTCTCTCTCTCTCCTCTCTCTCTCTCTCTCTCTCCTCTCTCTCTCTCCTCTCCCTTCCCTCTCCCTCTCCCTCTCTCTCTCTCTCCTCTCTCTCTTCTCTCTCTCTCTCTCTCTCTCTCTCTCTCTCTCTCTCTCTCTCTCTCTCTCTCTCTCTCTCTCTCTCTCTCTCTCTCTCTTTCTCTCTTTCTCTCTTTCTCTCTTTCTCTCTCTCTCTCTCTCTCTCTCTCTCTCTCTCTCTCTCTCTCTCTCTCTCTCTCCTCTCTCTCTCTCTCTCTCTCTCTCTCTATCTCTATCTCTCTCTCCCTCACCCTCTCTCTCTCCCCCCACCTCTCTCTCTTCCCCCACCCTCTCCTTCACCCTCACCCTCTCCTTCCCTCTCCCTCTCCCTCTCCCTCTCCCTCTCTCTCCCTCACCCTCTCCCCTCCCTCACCCTCTCCCTCTCCCTCTCCCTCTCCCTCTCCCTCTCCCTCTCCCTCTCTTCCTCTCTTTCTCTCTCTGTGTCTCATAAATATTGAACCTAAATTACTATGCTCTTTGAAGGTGACAGAACATTTTATTATCTACTTCTGTACAGAATGCAATACATATTCAAGTGCTATAGAAACTGATATCTGTAAAATATAATGGTTAGTTTTTTTAAGGTAAATAGATATTTGTTGACTACAAAGGGGGAATCCTGACAGCTGCATATGTGTTCATTTTCTGTTTCTATTCTTATTTCATGTCTGTTACTCTGCTCATGTTAATGTTGAGAAAGATAAAAATGGAGTACCATGTACTTTGTGATGTTGAAGGTTGTTCAGGCTAAAAAGAAATACATTTCGCTTATTA